TGATATGTGATATATATGACAAGTCTCAGTTAGCTTAACGCAGTACACGTAGCAAGGTTTTTTTTAAATTATATAATAAATATAAAGAAAACAGATAATAAATAAAAAGAATAGAATAGAGCAAGCTAGTGTTAGAGCTTTTTGTTAATTGTATAATAAATAAAAAGAAAATAAATACATAGAATAAAAAAAGAATAGAGAAGCTATTGTTAGTTTTTTTGTGTATATATACACACACACACACACACATATATATATATATATATATGTGTGTGTGTGTGTGTATAATGTGTAATTATTTATTATAGTTAAATGCAAAATATAATTTTCACAAATATAACAATAAAGAAGCAAACCTCCTGTGCCATGGTAGGTAGCAGACTGGAAATAATGTATGCTTTAATTAATTTATTGGCGTCACCTGTATGCCAACTATACAATAGTATTAAAAAGTCATATTTAACAATATATTGTGCCTCACATTATATATTGTGTGAACATAACCAATTTTGAGTATTACATGTTGAGGTTGATGTTTCTTTCAGGTTCTTGTGAGATCGGATGGGCTTATTACTGCACCGGGGCTGGAGCTGTGGTGGCCATGCTGTTGTGCACGTGGATGGCATGTTTCGCAGGGAAGAAACAGAAACACTACCCTTACTAAACATGTAGCAGAAAAACAACAGTAGAGGAAACTATAAACACACATATATGGGCATGACTTTCATTCTTCAATTCAGAGAGCTTCTACATCCAGTGCACTTCCCAAACGCATATCATATACGCATTTCGACATGTAGGCTTATTTTAAAATAGACTATGTATATGGTGTAAATTTTTTAATGTTGTGTATAAACTATATTTATTTTTACTTGTACATGTTAAAGAAATAAAAAAATAATAAAAAAATAAAACTGTAATACTAAACTGTATAGCCACTAGATGTCTGCATAGCCTTTTATATAAATATACGGGCTGTAATATCTATTCTAGATGGTGACACAAGACACGTTTTTTAATAGCCTAGTTTCAAATAGTTTTTACTATAGTTTTTATTCGTTTTAATTTTAAAGTCATAGTTAAATAAAAGTACTTAGATATTGCTTTTTTTGACTTATTTACATATGTAATTTGAAGTAATCCAAAAGTAATCAGATTACATTACTTTTATATTGTGGTACTTGGATTACGTTACTGAATACAGGTTCTTGTGAGATCGGATGGGCTTATTACTGCACCGGGGCTGGAGCTGTGGTGGCCATGCTGTTGTGCACGTGGATGGCATGTTTCGCAGGGAAGAAACAGAAACACTACCCTTACTAAACATGTAGCAGAAAAACAACAGTAGAGGAAACTATAAACACACATATATGGGCATGACTTTCATTCTTCAATTCAGAGAGCTTCTACATCCAGTGCACTTCCCAAACGCATATCAAATACAAGGAGACATGACTGAATGATGACCTTTCGGTTGCAGTTCCCACTTGAGATTTTTCCTACGACTGATCTTTGACCTGCATTGGGATCTTTTGCATTTAAAGTGATGCCAGTATCATTAAAAAGGAATATATGTCAGACGACCTATTGACTTTTGAATTTTTGTGTTCAGAAGGAACCTACTGTGTTGCTATCACTTATATGTCACTTTTTTTATCGTGTTTGTGTAAGTACAGTATTCTCGGTGGTTTAGGTTGTTGTGTTTTGGTATATTGTGTTATTATAATAATCTATTCTATATTATGCATTTCATTAATGTCCTGTTATTGCCTTACATATCTCCGCTGCAATAATATACGTCACAATATTTTGTGTTTGGTATTTACAACTTTTATATAACATATGCTTAAATGTCCATTATATTTCCCTGCATTTGTAAATAAATACTGTCATTTAAAAACTCATAATTGTTGGCGATATTATATATATGAACATTTATATTTAAAGGAATGCATTTTACAAAAGTTCATTTTGAGGGTTTTTATTAGTGTGTTTGTTTTTCGTAATGCCTTTTATTGAAATGCTCTAACAGAAACTCCGTAAACTTCATTTCTGATCTGCATGATCTGTGTATTTTTAACCTGCGTGTATCTTTTTCTTTTGGAATGATGGATTGCCTGGTGTTAATTTCCGACAGGGTGATGCAGTGCTGAAGTATTCGCCGCTAGAATGTGAAACTGCAGGGATCCACGCTGTGGGAAGATGTAAAGGCTGATCAGAAGTTATTGACGATCTGCTGTTCCCATTTAGCACTATCAGCAAACCATCACACACACGCTCTGCAGTCAGCTGTTGTTTTAGAAATGCAAATGCCTGCCTGAAGATGAGCTGTTACTGATAATCACACCATTTCATCAAACCTCACCCTAGTTTAACACCTGACTGAGTGGAGGAGAGTTCATACAGTTTCCCCTTAATTACGCTAAACCTGTCAGTGAGAAGGACAGGCCTATTGTGGAAAGCTGCAGTAAATGCAAGGCAACGGAAAATCAGTGTTACACGTGGTGGAGTTTTAACAAATATATTGCTTTGCCAGGTTTTTAGCGAAGACAAGCAGAATCTGTCAGAGTTCAGGGAAAACAAGCTGTCTGTATGTATTAAGATCATCTCACCTCTGCTCTGTGATTCCCTCTTACTTCAATATTTTGATGGACGATTTACTGTCCCTACACTTGTATTGTCTCGAGTCAGGTAGATGAGTCTTTGGATAAGATGGTCTGATGTCTTTCAGATATTTCCTAATATTCACATTATCCATGGCAGCTACCAAAATACATTACGGCCATCTATTTCACACAGAATGGCTTTAATGTTACCCAAATTCACTCTAATGATGTCTAATCTTCTCTAATTTTGCAGGGTCACCAAATCTGATAAGACGGTATTAAAGAATACCAAAATCTGAACACTGTGACCATCTTATTGACCGTAGAAGGTGATGCTATTAATGTGCATCTTGAACTCGAATTCTGTAGCAAGTGAAGGTGAAAGCTGTGTAGATGGTTAGTTTAGAAATGCTGGTTATTCATATCATAAAGGATTCTGCTTGTTGCATTAGATTAAGCGCAATGTAGTTATTTGCAGAGGAAACCTTCATAGGGAGAAGCAGGGGAGTCATCATCTCATGAGTCTTATTTTGATACCACACCAGCAATAATATTTTCCCTCACAGAAATTGTCTGTTAGTATGCAACTAGGTTGAGTGTGTCTAGATTAAATAAAGGACAGGGATTGGTTGATTTTGTTTTTGGCTTGATGTTTCGATAGAGCCATATGGTTGCCATCAGTGCCATATGCGAAGTCTACTTCACATGAGAAACTGTAGGCCATGTTTAACATTTTTCTCTTGTAACATCAGGATTGAATGACATTTATTATTTAAATTTTTTTTTTAAAATGATAGCCAAGTAGATCCATGTTCATTTTAAGTCTTATTGTGAGCCAATAAGAAAACAATGCTTTTCAGGTCCATGTCTACTTGAAATGGAATAACCAAGAAGTTGGTTATGCTTGGTTATCCAACCAGTTTCATTTGTTCCCTCTTGCCTCTGGTTTACAGAAAATGAGTCCAGACACACAGGTAAAATTAGTTGCCCTTCTTTATTTAAATAAAGGTCATAATTAACTGGCAGAAATGACCAAACATGTTCTGACAGACCTCACATAATGATGCAGTCAGCAGAATATCTCATTAATTAAATATTGCATTAATTAAAGTGGAACCCACAGGGAAGCAATTTGAGATCACAGTTGGAGTCATAGCCTTACAGCTATAAGCTCCTTATTTACTCATTATCACACACTGAAATGCAGGCACATTTCACATTCATGCTGTTCAAATGGGTATTTTCTGCATAGAGCTGGTTTAGAGCATCAAGACTGGAATCTTCTGCCATCTAGTGGCTGAATGTAATTTGCTATGCACTTGCCGCATGTGAGGCCTTTTGAGAGAACAAATGAACAGGAAAATGTCCAAACTTCTGAACTGCATTCTGTAGGTATGCAGGAGTTTAGAATATATTCAGTGACATGCTTATCATTGACTTGCACCCTGTGGCC